CTGTTTGTCTGTTATTGATATATAGGAATGCTTGTGATTTCTGCACATTGACTTTGTATCCTGAGACTTTGCTGAAGTTGCTTATCAGTTTGAGATTTGGGGCTGAGATGATGGGGTCTTCTAGATATGCAATCATGTTGTCTGCAAATAGAGACAGTTTGACTTCCTCCTTTCCTAATTGAATACCCTTTATTTCTTTTGTTCCCCTACTTTCTATCAGCAGCAGTGAAGTTGTTTGAAGGTGTAAAGCATATGTAAAACCTTAACTGTTGCTTCTCTAAGCTGAACACTCACTTTTCATATGAGAAGCATCAGATGGCTCCCAATTTTCTAAAGATTTAGGTCCAAACTTGCTGGCCCCTGCTGGCCTCTCTAGCCCCATGTCCCCCCAGCCTCTGATGAAATCCAGGCATACTGGACTCATTGTTCATTCTGCCTGGCAAGTCCTTGTCTCCTCCATTCCCTGTCCCCTTGCCACTGAGGAAATTTGAACACCACTCTTCAAGGGCCAAATTCATAAGTCATCTTTTCTTAGTAGGTTCTTAATACCCCCAGGCAGAATTAATTTTCTTTTCTCTGTGTTCCCATAGCACTTTTAAAGCAGCAGTAGTATGAATTTATCATAGTGATTTGTTCATGTGTTCGTCTTCCCAGTAGACCCTGATCAGTTTCACAGGATGAAACTGTCTTTTTTTATATTCTCAGTGCCAGCACAAAGCAAATACTCAACAAAGGGTAGTTGTATCAAATTGACTTAATAAATCCTTCCTGACTTCTTACTCTCCTGTAAACACACGTGGGTCTGTCACTGTCCCTCTTTAAAAGTGACCCCCAGAAGGAAAAATCATTTTTCAGATGTTAGCCCATCACTATGCTAAACACCCACCTTCTCTGGAAATTAGATATTTCTATTAATGTCATCTCAGGCTACATGGGTTTTGTTCATAAACGCATTCACTGTAGCATCCCAGAAAACTTTGCTGAATACTGTTTCCTGCCCTGCACCTCCTGCCCCCAGGCAAACCACTGCCAGACCAGATTTTCCCTTGCTTCTACCTTCTCATCTAAATGTAATTCTTTATATGTATTCTTGATACATTTAATCTTCTTTCCCACTAAAAAAGGTAACTTCATTCTTTTGAACTAAAATAGTAAATTTTAGTTTTAATTCCATCATCTGTTATAACCACTCTGTCTTCCAGTTTGATATCACCTGTGTATGGAAAGATAATGTAAAATATGTGCATTTGCCTTCTTAAGGTAATTATTAAGTGTTTAGCAAAGAAAAAATATACAGTACATCTATTTATTGGGAAATTTTTGTTGTACTTAATTCAAGATTCTAAAATGTCATATTCGTCCTCCCAATCACCATCAAACTTTCCGAAGATATATGGAGATGTTCTTTAGATAGCTTTGGGGAAAACATGTCATCATTAAATATATGTGTCTCTGTCTGATACATTTCTTATGCCCACAGAGCCTCTTATGTGCCCCTTCTATGCACTCATGTAGCATCCTATACCTTCATTATCATAAAACTTGTCACAGTTTATGTAATAGCTTATATAATTGTCTCTTCTCCTTTCTAGTCTACTAATCTCTGTTTTACTCAATATCCCAAAAGCTTAGTACTTTGCCTGGTTAAAATTTTATTTGAGTCAAAACTACTTTAGATCAATAGTATAATATATATAAATACTATCTTATTTTGTGTGGTTCAGCACTGAATCAGTAACTAAAAAGAGGGATCCTGATATTTCAAAGTAGCCAGAGACATTATTTCAGAGACAGCTGAGGTAGTCAGCAGTTTACATTATCTGTCTGATAGGGCCATTTCAAGCTTACCATAAACTAATTGCCTTAGTCCACTTTGTGTTGCTGTGATGAAATATCTGAGGCTGGTTAATTCATAAAGAAAAGAGGTTTATTTCACTCACAGTCTGCATCCTGGGAAGTTCAGGAAGCACGGCACCTGCATCTGCTCAGTTTCTGTTGAGGGCTTTTTATTCTCTATGACAACATGGCAGAAAGTTAAAGAGGAAATGGACTAAATGTAATTTAGTGCAAAGAGGCAAAAGAAGCATGCAAAGAGGCAAAACCCTAGGGACATCCTGGCTTTATAACAACCCACTTTCTGAGGAAGTAATCCATTCCTGTGAGAAATAATTCAGTCTCAAAAAAAAAAGAAAGTGAGAACTCACCCCAAAAACAGCACCCAGCCATCCATGAGGGATCAGCCCCCATGACCCAAACCTCTCCCATCAGCCCCAACTCCTGCCTACATTAGACACCAAATATCAACATGAGTTTTCATGGGAACAAGCCATATCCAAACCACAGCACTAAACAAATAATGACTTATATTTAGTAAAATTTAAAATCTCCCAAAATACAGACTGTAATAATGCATCAATAAACAGCATTAATTTAATCATTCCAAGGTTTATTAGTATTTGTTGCCCTGAAACTTCTATAGGACTCCAGGCTGCAGTGCTGAATCAACTGGGGGATCTTAGGCACTATTCAAGTGGTTTCATTCCTGTAGCACTGAAAAGATCTTATTAGAAGCCACTCACACTATGAAGAAAGTTCTACAGCAGGAAGTCTAAGGAGAGTGTTATGGTGAGATTTCTGTATGATTTGGTTTTTAAAAATTCCACTCTGCAATACATCCCCATGATATAAATATTCCTAATTAGCACAGAATTTCAGTTCCTTCATGGAAAATGCTGCAGTGCAATTTAGTGCTGCTTAAAAATTAACTTAACTTGTCCCATTTGGCAAACTAAGCCAGGGTCTTAGAAAATGTGGCACTGTAGTGTGCAGGAATGTGGGCAGCTTTGAGAACTCCCTTCCTCGGGATCTGAGAGAGGCTTTTTGTTGACCTTACACTGAATTCTTATGTTTGAATATATTGCTGGGATGCAACAGTCAGCTACTGGCTAAATGTCAAGAGAAACTTCTGGAACACCAAGACAGAAAAATGTAAGAAGTGAAAATTATCAACACTTAAGTTTTTCTGAGATAGTTTGCTGCTTAATGTACATTCACTTAAGCAGCTCCAATGAAAAGTAGATTTTATGTTAGCAAATGCTGAAGAGACAAAAATGTCATTCCTGTCTGCCTTCTTTCCTGCTGGTTAGCTATTGGATGCCATGAAAAATAAAATACGTCTCTATTTACTGAGCCCACCCAATATTTTAAATATCTTGACATCTATATTTACATTCTGTCAAAAAGGTAATAATATGAAGGATTTATTATGAGTCCTGAGCTTTCTCCTTTGAATCACAGCAGCAATTACTAAGGATCACAGGCACATGGCATTGGGTCTGGGCTATGACACGGTCTTGTTCACCAGAAGTCGCAAGTTGAAAAGTGACACCATTAGTCATGAAATGTTTTTCCTTCTTGTCTCACTACCATAAACAGTAAAGTACAAGAATTAAGAAAATGAACAAACATTACACTAGTAAAATACCACAGAGACTGGAAAACTGTGAAGAAAATGTGGAAGAGGGAGGGGAAAAGATAAAGAGAAAGTGGACCATTAATATAAATAGAGTTAAAAATGATTACATGTAGCAAATGAGATCACACTATGAGTCGAACGTGCCTTTATATTTAGAATACTGACTGAATTATCTTTTAATGAAGACCAACGCATCTCCTGGGGAATAACTTAACTTAGGCGGGAGTCAAACCCCCAGTTTGGTGGAAGATCAGTGTTCAAATTTCAGGAGTCGGATGTACACCAATAGTACCCGTGGCTCTACCCTTAAAGCCAACTAAGAAGGCAGCCTGAGAAGGAACACTGAAAGTGCTGTTTTCATAAAAAATCTGTAAGAGATTTTTCTTTTTTCCTTTACTTTTTATTTTAATGAAAATCCTTGACATGCTGTGCCACTGCATTGACAAGGTGCACCATGAAAAGTGCCCTACTTCATTGTAGAATGCATTATGACTTCATGGAACAGGAAGAGGTGGCTCATTGGCAGCAGTTGAGGGGACTTGGTTCACTGGAGCTGTCATGTTACTGCATCATCAAGTGCAGGTGGGGCTGACCGTCTTTGACAGTAAAAGGAGGTGGCCCAGTGCCAGCAGGAGTGCCTTCATAGATGCTCCACAGATGCTGTACACTTCCAAAGTAAATCTCAGGGAAGGGAAGATGGGGCATCAGACAATAATTGTGAAGATTATGCTCTTGAGCACGTGTGAAACACCTTTCATAGCTCCTGAATTTAGTAGGCAAGGGTGAATTTTGAAAATAGACTGAAAGAGTTAACCATAGTTAAGCCTGGGGTGTGAGTTATGAAGAGAGTAACATGTAATTTATTGTACAAACAGGGATGCCTTTGAAAATGAACGGTTTGCTACTAATAATTACACCAAGACAACAGATATAAACGATGACTGCCCTGGACAAACTGGAATGCACAGTCACATTATGAGGGACGGTCACCCTCAACTGTTAGCTTTGCCATGCTTGCAGTTTTATTCTAAACATGTACTGTTTTAAAATCAGAAAAATAGAAGATACTGGAATTTACAGGAAGAAATAAGAATCGAATATGAGGGCAAAGATAGCAGCATAATGTTTACATTGTTAGAGTGACTCTAGTTTCCTGCTCCTGCTCCAGCCCTCTTCTGACCCCACATTACAGTTTAGAAAATTATATCTGCAAATTATTCAGCATCCACTGGCAATATCAGAGCAGCCTACCTTCCTTAGCAAGGCCATACTGTCCCAGCAGTTCTGGTGTGCCCCCACCTTAGTGATTTGATGTTTTTTCTCTCTGAGCTAGTAGCCCTCCAAGGTTCAAAGGAACATTTGAATGTCAAAAGCCTGGAGGTAAAGTTTGCAAACACAGTGCTTCCTCATCACAGCTGGCCACGTCAGTCTCGTCAAAATGCTAATGCTAGAATATTTCTTTATAAATAGAGTACCCATGAGATCAAGATCTTAATTTACTTTGTTCCTAATTCACAAAGGGAAGTTGCCTTCTTTTTTTAAAACTAAATTGAGGTTCTGTCTTTAGTAAATTCTTACATGTAGCTGGAAATTTCCATTGTAAAGTGTATTTCTTTTGTTTTAAGCTCTTTCCAAGTGACTTTATAACTTTTTTAACGTTTTGGCAACGGCGCTCTTCCTCTGTCCACAGAACTGGTAAAGACAGAATTATGAACTCTGCTGGCCTTGTCCCAGCCTACTTTTTGGAGCTTTTATGAGAGAAGAAGTTTGGCAACTCAGCTCCCAGTGCCCACAGGAGTGCAAATGAAGCTGGAGCTGAAGCCATCTATGAGAGCAGATGGGCTGCCAGTCCAATGACTATAACTTGGATAGCTCTACACAAGTTGAGAAACAGCTTTTAGCCATGACAGGCAAGGCCCAGCAGGGTAAGTAGCTGACTGTCTGGTCTGATTTAAGATCACTGCCAAAAAATTTTCTTCATTAACCTTCACAGTTATCTAAGCTCTGTGAAGGCAGGGGTTTTTGTGTTTTGCTTGTAGGAGTACCCTCAGGGCCTACAACAGTGCCTGGGATATAGTAGGAGCTCAAAAATATTTGTGGAATAAAAGAATATTTCTTCATCTTCAAAATGTCAAGATGGGATATTAATAGTACCTGTATCCAGGACTGATATTCAGCTGATTTCCATTCTGATATATCATTTCAATGTCACAAGATTGTTGTGATGATTACATAAATTAAAACATAGAAAGCTCTTTTAATAAAACCTGACACATATTAAGTGGTCAATAAATGTCAGCTCCCATCAATTTCAAGGTACAGAGGCTGACACCCAGGAAAAATGGGAAACAATGTAGGATCCAAGCAGGGGCACTTCTGAGTTCAAGAAGCAATAACTGGTTCCTGCTGAGTTCTACTTGACTATTGGGAAGGGCAGTTGCCAATGATGCTGTAGTGCTGTAGTCTTTGCTTATGGGCCGAGGCTTACACCTGGTTAGAGGTCATACATTAACCTGTCATCAATAAATGGCATTTATGCCATCTGCACATGGATACTGTTCTCTTAGTGAGGAGATGGCAAAGTTCTGAAAGAATGGTTCACACAACAGGTAAGTTTTAATCATCAGGGCATGGGTCAGTGCCCAGGAAGGGCTAGCCCAGTTCTGCCAGGGTGGGGTGCTTTGGAGGAGAGCAGCTGGTTGGTGAAGAGTGAGCGGCAGGGGGAACAAGATGTGAGCAGAATAGGTGGGAGGGCCATCCTGCTAAAATATCTATTGTCTACCTGGGAATAAAATGTGTTACAAAGATGAGAAGCTCAACAGTATTCTCAGAAGGCTTTCCAACTTAATTGCCTTGTTCCTTTTCCTAATTAGAACCTTAATCAACTTAGGATACAGTATATGGTACTCTTTGGTTAGGTTTCCATGTATGTAAGAATCAGGTCAGTTGTAGAAGGTTAAACTGGGCTGGATTGTATACTGTTTGTGCATTTGGTAACAATAATTCTTATACTTCCCATTTGTATAATGCATGATATATATTATATACAGATAATAACCTATATTGTATACAGGTTACATTATATATGGATATATATATCTCTCTCTCATCTACTTTGCCACTATATATAATCTATATACATTACATATAAAATCTATTTTGTTACAATGACTCTGTGAGGTTTATAGCACATGTAGTATTAACTCTATTTAACGTGAAGAAAATAAGGCATGAAGAATTAAGAGCCAAGGATAGTGGTTGAAGCTCCTGGGGATGGGAAATGGCATTTTTCTTAGTGTTCTACTAATCATCAGAGCAGGGCTTTCCAACTTCAGATTCAAAAACGTTTTTTTTTCTTTTTAAGCATACTTGGCTACCCCTCACCCAGAGATTAATTGAAAAAGCTTCTGGGCTCTACCAATTTGCTCCCTATTAAATATACTAACTGAATAGCAAACTAATTCTATCTCTAAACCAGTCATTCTAGAAGATATGCAAGATGACCCAGTGAAGTGTTGGAAGAAAATACTAGGACTTTCAGTTTTATATTTTTGGATGTGTTAAATGAACATAATTCATTACTATAGTGTAACATAATACATATATATATGCACATATAGCAATTCATGTGCAGAATTTATAAGTAAGTGTATTTACAAATATTGAGATGCACTTTTTTTTCAGGCACAGAGCTGCAGTTTCAAGAAAGCCTGGCAACCATTGTTCCAAACTGGTAACTATCTAAAACGTCTGCATTGTTTTTATCTAAGCACACTTCTCCTTTTGTTTATCTTATGTTTAGTGCAACAGAGTGTGGCAATGAGCTGCTGTACCAGAATAACAGAAGCTTTGAGTGAGAAGGCCTTGGGGAATCAATTCGCCTAACCCCTTCATTTGACAGGGGAAGAAACCGAGGCTTACAGGGGTTAGAGTTAAGGGATTTGTCCAAGCTGACAAGTTAAGGTTGAGCTCAGCAATATGGGAAATGGATGGAAAATCCAGTTAATGCTTAGCTAGCAATGGTAATGTGCTGTGGAGTTGGCTGGCAGAAATTAAATCCATTAATAATCCCCAAACCTTATTTTAGCCAGAACTTTTAAATGTCTCACCTATCAACCTCTTCTTAATAGATGGTAATGTAATGGTTTTGTCTCTCTGGACACCCATGAATGCTACATTAAGGAAAAATGTCACACATATTAGTGTGCACTGGGTATCTGTGGAGACTATTTATAACTATTTAATTATATATATCAATTAGAGGAAGAAAAAGCAATTGCATTGAAACAAATACACTACCCATCCTGGCCTGTTGTAAAGAATGGAACAAAATTATAATATTCTGCAATAAGCAAATTATTACTCACTCAAAGTCCACTGAATCTTGAAATACTACCAGTTTTCTTCTAAAGGGAATTTCATCTCAGAATTTAAGACCAGACCAATGTTGCACTATTTATCACATGCTAAATTCTAGTAAATATTTGGTTCTATTTCTGGACTCGCCATTCTCTTCCATTAATTTAGTCACGTAGTTAATTACCAGTGCCTAAGGGTTTTATTGACTGAAATATTATGGCCAATAAGATTAGTATCCCTTCGTCACTCTTAAATCTTATAAAATTTAATTCCTACCAGTAGGAAAAATAATTTTGCCGATTCCAAAGTAAAACAAAACAAAAACGCCAAAAACTACCATCACAAACAAAAAGCCTACTGGTGTCTTTATTGGGAAACTCATGAAATTTATAGATTGACTTAGGGAGAACTGACTTTTTAATATAGAGTCAGTTTTTCCCTAAAATAGAATATTTAAATCTTTTTCAATTAGGATATACCTTTCCATTTATTCAATCATTTATGTTTCCTTGGCAAATGAGATGTTTCATTCTATTTTTAAACTTATTCTACATTGTATGTATGAAAGCTGTTGATTTTCTTTTACAAATTATTGAATCTGCCAATTTTTAAAATTTTTCTGTTGTTTATAACCATTTTTTAGTTGATGATTCTCTTGGGGTTTCCACAGGTACACCTATCTCACTTGTGAATAATGACTATTTTACCTCTTTCTTTCTGATTTTTATGCTTTTTATTTTGTTCTCTTATATCACCATATTAACTACTACTTCTAGAGCAATTATTTGACAGCTTCAATTATTGATCGTATAGAATTTTTTCCATTCTAATAATGTTGCAGTGAACGTTAATGTTCACTGCAACATTATTAGAATGGAAAAAGCAGTTTGGTCATTTTGGTAAGACAGATTTCTAAAAACGTAATTTGTTGGGTCAGAAAGAATTATTTTAAAAAGTTTTAGGGCCAGGCGTGGTCGCTTACGCCTGTAATCCCAGGATTACAGGAAGGCTGAGAAGGGTAGATTACTTGAGGTCAGGAGTTTGAGACCAGTCTGGCTAACATGGTGAAACCCCGTCTGTACTAAAAATACAAAAATTAGCCGGGTGCAGTGGGACCTGCCTGTGGCCCAAGCTACTCATGAGGCTGAGGCAGGAGAATCTCTTGAACCTGGGAGGTGGATGGTGCAGTGAGCCGAGATTGCCACTGCACTCCAGTCTGGGTGGCAGAGCAAGACTGTGTCTCAAAAATAAAATAATAATTTTTTTAAAAAGCTTTTAGAACATGTTATATTACTTTTTCACAAGGTTCTCCTGGTGACCATCATCACCTTGTCTCCTTAGCACCCTGAACCTCCAACAGAATCCTTTATTACCTTTTAAGAGCCAACTCAAGGGCCACCTCCCTGGTGAAACATTTACCATTTCACCCTTCACTCCCCACTCCAAACCTATCACGGGAGAACTATCCATTGATAGAGTAGGACGATATTTCTTGAGGTTATTTTTGTGCCCAGTTGCCAGGGCTCTTACATAAGTGGAACAAGGACTGATGAAAATCGGCAGGGACTGGCTCTTCCTTTTTGGTGAATTGTATTTGTTTAACATGACTTCAGGATTATTCCCTACATATCTATTTCCACCATCAGTATAAACACAGAATTGGCATTGCAGAAGGGGCCTCTAACAAGAGCTGGGGAGGGATGCTTAAAAGGTAAGAGTTGACTCTGCTGTCTCCCTGCTCTCACATGCCTCAGGGCGCTTGCCTTGTTGACTGTTAATGATCACCTTAGGCCCTGAAGCACAATGACGAGAGACCCCAGTGACTGTTGCAACTTCAGACGCAGCTTTTGGTTTTCCCCCTTTTTTTGGTGGGAGAGAGATTCAGAATTTTTGTATGCTAGTTTGATACAAGGTAAAAGAGAGCTGGAAAAGAGGGGGCGGTCAGCATGTCATCTAATCCAGCTCTTCGCTTCCAGAAAGACCTGAGGAACTAAGCAGTACCTCCTGTTTTGAAAGGTCTATGGGAATAAAAATTCTTTGTTCATCCATGCCAGTATTTGTCAGCCCTCATTGGCAAAGAGTTCCTAGGTCTCACTTCCTATTCCTACCTGGTACTCACCTCCTCATCTCTGTCTATTTCCTATCAACAAGAAGAACAGCTGGTCAGTTGCCTCTAGGGTGACTGCTTTAATATCTCTGGTTTGCTGGGAATGATAGTGAGCAAGAGTCTTCCCTGAATAAAGCATGTTCCATGCTAACTAACACCAGAAGAGCCTCTCTCTGATTCAGGTTCTGCAAAAGTGGGTGAGATAAGGGGAGTGGAGTGGAGAGAGTCTCGAATGTAAATGCAGCACACTCAATTCCTTGAGGAAATGGGAGAGATATTCCCATCACACACCTGAGCAATGAATTTTGCTTTCAACAGCACAGCTGCCCTCCACAAACCATTCCAAATCAAACCAATTTATTCCAAATTCCACTGCAAGTATCTGTTAATATCTAGTGAGATGTTCAAAGTAAGTTAACCATCTACTAGTTATAGGGGAGCCCTTTGTTTAATTCATCGAGAAACAGACAGAACTGCTAACATATGTTTCTGTTGCTAGACCTTAGTCTTATCACAGCTTGAAACTGTAAAAAATCAGCTATGTGCTTTGAATTACTCTTCTTCTTGGCACAAAAGCATTTCTTCATTCTTTCGGGATAGTGAACACTTTGCAACATCTACCACTAACAGCTTGTTAGGATTCTCTGCTAAATTAATGTAGTACCAATAAACCAAACAGAAGGCTGGTGGAATGCTAAACATCTCTTCTTTCCTCTGTTGCAGCCTCCTTGCAGCTTGGGACCATTCTGCTTTGCTGCTGCAACATCTGGACAGCATTCGAGGTTGTTTCTCAAGGACACAAGCGTGCACCTCCGGTGAATTTCATCTTTCAACATCTCTCTGGCTCTAATCTATATTTAATGTTTCATGACTGGTAGTCAAAGAAGCTTCAGCTAAATATCAGGTTGGAATGAAAATGATCCTTGGGAGAACATTCGCTTCCAGCGTGCGCCAGCAAAGTGTCTGTGACAGAGGCTTTCCCCGGAGATTTGTTGCCCATTCTCTTGCAGTAATAATAATTATGCCTTATGATTGCTGTGCCCACATAATCAAAGATCGCTTCATCAAATGTGATCCCCAGGGGAAGCTGTCTCTACTCCTAACTGGATGTCAGTCACAGAGAGCAGCACCCTTAGGGATCCCCAATCTCTTGCTTGCCTTTTTCAGTACTGTGTTGTTAGCATTGTGTTTCTTCATATTCTTCTCAATGCAAATGATGTGTAAATCATGCCCTCCAGAAGGCACATGTGGTGAGGGGGAGAGGTTGGGGAGGGAGGTGGGGGGCTGGTGTATTCTTCTCCTCCAGCCCCCTCCTCAACCTACCACAGGGATTTCTCACATGGAGCATAATTACATCTGTGCCATATGGGCTCATTTATATTCTATTACAGGTTAAGCTAATACGACTCAGAAATATGCTAAAAATACCTCAAAGTATTCTAGAGCTGTCAAAACACTTGTCATTTCTTGCTTACCCGTTTGATTGCTAGTGTTTTTATTTTTGTTGAGAGATTCGAAGAGCTAAGAAAGCACACTGGCATGCTGGTGTCCAGTCTATAAATACAGTTTAATTTCTTGTATTACCATAATCCTTGGGCTTGCAAAAAAAAAAAAAAAATCCTTCTTTATAATCCTGGAATGGCCCTAAGACATGGGCACTGAAACCCCTGTACTTGTAGATTTTAATTTCCCAAGAGGTAGAAAATACAGACTTCAGATATGCGGTTTTGTCAGCTTTAGAATATTTCTTGTCTTTGTTTGATGTAATTATTCATTGTGATAGAGAAACACCTGCAGCAGGCTGACATGCCATAGAAACATGCTGCTTGAGTTAGTTATAAGAGTTTGTTTGGATGTCAGACAAATCTGGTCAAGATTTTACATGTGGCATGATAATGAGAAGTACAATCTGTAATGAGTAAGGAGTTCAACAATGATTTACAAGGGCATGTTGGGTTATTTTTACGCTGTGGTTAAAGTCCATCTACATACTAATTTCTACCATCAGTTTGGAAAATTGGTAGGTCATGCTTGTGTAGGCTTTTAACCTAAAGGCCTGTTTATGTAATTAATTTTTTCATTATTATTACCTTAACATATTACGGAATTTTAAAAAAATTTAGTCTTGGGAACAGAATAGCAAGCACAGATATTTTATTTTTCCATGCTTGACGAGCAACATTTCCAAGGTTTATAAGGTGCTAATCACATCAGCCATCCGTGAAACACACCATTTAACTGAAAACTAAACTCACACAAGCCATTCTTTTCTTATTTGCTAATAACTGTTCTATGTGATCTGGTTGACAGAGTGGTTAAGACTACCTGGTTTCCAATATCAATTCTGCCACTTGCTAGCTTATTATCTCGGCAAATGCCATAATTTTTTCAGTGCTCAGTTCCTCCAACTGTAAAACGAGCCTAAGAACCATAGCTATCCCAAAGGGATTGATGGAAGTATAAAACATGATAATATAGCAAATTATTAGGCACAATGTCTAACACTTAGTAATCACTTCATAAGAATTAGTTATTATCACTGGTATTGATTTTGGTTTTACCATAAACAGCTTTTTAATATAATTATGTGACTCTTTTAATTAAAAAAATACGTTTTACCAAAATCATGCTAGTTGCACAAACTGCCATTTATCTTAGATCATGTAGGCCAGAGGTTCTTGACATTTTTGAATCACACAACCAAGTTCTTACTTCATTTAGAGTAGATATTTCGTGGCTGGCTTAGAAAGAAATGGAAAAATTCAGTGTTAATGTACCAAAGACAAGTTTTTCTATTTAAAGTATTATTTTGAAATATTTGTACCTTTAGGATTATTCAGCATGCAATGTATTTGAACTCCTGCAATTGAAATGTTACATTTAAATAAAAAGGAATTCTAGTTTATAGTAAGCAAATGACTTAGCCAGTAACTATAGCCATGTTTTGAAAATCTGCTTCTTTAAATCCTTAGTGAAAGAGTAATGTGAAGATAGGGGTGTGTGTGTGTGTGTGTGTGTGTGTGTGTGTGTGTGTGTGTGTAGACACTCTACTGTAGATACATGCACACAAGAGAATCTAATTTTGAAGTCTTCATTTAAGTGTTTTTATTCAGCCTCATGATCTTGGGGAGAGTCATGTACCTTCCTAGTTACAAGATTAGGCTCTAGATCAAGGGTACCCAAACCGCGGGGGCACACAACAAGAGGGGAGCAGGGCAGGGGCGGGGGTGGCAAGTGAGAGAAGGTTCATCTGTTTTTACAGGCACTCCCCATTGCTCATATTACTGTTTGAGCTCCACCTCCTATCAGATCAGCAGTGGCATTAGATTCTCATAGGAGCACAAACCCTGCTATAAATTGTGCATGTGAGAGATCTAGGCTGTATGCTCCTTATGAGAACCTAATGCCTGATGATCTGTTACTGTCTCCTATTACTCCCATATGGAAGCATCTAGCTGCAGGAAAACAAATTCAGGGGTCCCACTGATTCTACTTTATGGAGAGTTGTATAATTATTTCACTATATATTACAATGTAATAATTGTAGACATAAAGTGTACAATAAATGGAATGTGCTTGAGTCATCTCGAAACCATTTTCCCACTCTGCCCCTGCCACCCTCTGCTTTCCGGTCCATGGAAAAATTGTCTTCCATGAAACCAGTCCCTGGTGCCAAAAATGTTGAGGACCACTGCTCTAGATGACCTCTCAGACCTTTTCCCTTCTTCAGGCTAGTTACACTACCGTAAAAGTGGAATAGTTTCTTATTATAAGAAGGGCTATAAGTTGCCTAGTCACTGCAAACTTTATATTTTTGTATTGAATGTCTAATGCAAATCCGATGTAAATGCAGGGGCCTTTTTTTTTTTTCACTCAGCTTTGTGGTTAGGGATGGGGCAGTGGCAAAGAGAGACACGGGCAAACTTTTACAGATGAGCATCCCCACCCTGTGTTCTGGCCAGGTTGTAGGCAGTAGATTTTCAGACAAAGGTGGCATGGATTTGAAGTCAGTAGCCAGGGAAATAGCTGCTTTCCTATGACCTTACCTTTCTTCTTTTTTCTAACCCATATTATAAATATGGGTTATTATAAATATTATTTATAATTATTTCTATATTATAAATATGGAAACACTTCTTGCATTGTACAAGAAGCTTCTAACAAGCTACATAATTTACTTATGTATTATGCTTGTGTCTATTATCAACATTCCTATCTCAAACTTAGATTTCACAGCATCGGGCTCTTTGTTTTTTATCAGCCCTCATTGGAGATTGCCTATGGCCAAAATCACACAAGACCAGATCAAGCAAAGGTATTGTCAAAACTGAGCAGAGATATACAAACCTGCCATGTTCCAACTTGGGACAACTCTGAAGGGCCACCCAAGTTCCAAAATTTCCTATGGAGTTGCCTGAACCCTTCATGGAGACCACCTCAGAGCTCCACTTTTCCCTTTACGCAATTTTGCTTCCTTCCACTCCTTTCCACAGGTATGGATTTCAAGAGCCCTCCCTGTTTAATCTGCTCCATCTCATAGCCTGCTGCGCAGAGAACCCTCAAATCTCTTCTTTCTCTGGTCCACAGAGAATAAATGCAAAACCCATATCCTTCCCTCAGTTTCAAACACATTTCAATCAATATCTTTATGGAGTCTGATAAGCTCAATTATTTATTGCATCTGACTCTTTATCATTTCCTGTATCTACATTCTTTGCCTTGTAGTTTTGCATTTTCTGCTATTAAAGATGGAATGTCCTTCCCAGCCTCTTGACTTTGGACAGGACCATGTGGTTTGCTTTGGCTAATAGAATGTTAGCAGATGTGATGCAAAAAGCAGTTTGAAAAGTGCTTGTGTGATTGGGCTTGCCCTTTGGTGTGCCTTTGCCGTCGCCATGAGAAGAATGTGCCCTGATAGCTCGATGGGACCAAAAAGGTTGAAAGACATGTGGGGAAGACACAGACCTGCAGACCTGCAATATGAAGCGAAACCTGCCCAACTGACTCACCGATCTGGGGAAATAAAATAATTTTTTCAGTCACTGCATTTTGAAGTTGTTTGTAATACACTATTGTGGCAAAGGCTAATTTCTGCAAGATGTAATTCTTACCACAGTAAAGTCAAATGTTTACATCTTTATGCAAAGTAGTTTAGCTACTTGTCCCAATTGTCTCCATTCCAGGGTAGCATTTTAGCTTTAACTTGGCATAATGAAAATGCATGTTAAAATTCTTTCTCATAATAAAAAAAGAAGTCTTCTTATAAAGGTGAATTTTTCCTCTATCTATGAAGATAGAAAATCTGTAACTACTTTTAAAGGGTAACTTTCTTATTTCTGGAAAACGTGTTAAAGCCTAGATGTACATTGCGTTCCAGATGAAAATCCAGATTTACCAAAAAGGCAAATTATTGAGTGACTGATTTTCTTTCTGTTATTTTTGATGCAGTATTTCTTTATAAATATGCCCTTTATTTATAAAAATATTTTTGGAATAGTGATTCTCTTAGTATGTCTGTCTCCTGCCTCTGGATTCTATGTCCCCTAAAAATGGGCAGGGACTGCATCTTGTTCATCTTATGTCTCCAGTAGAAGTTCCGGGGCCTGGCTCTTTGAAATTGGTCAACAGTTGCTTGTTGAGTTTCTATATAATTAAATGCAGTTCCTGTAGTAATTCCCATGAGTAGGAAAACCGCGAGGACTGGGAAGACCTTAGAGGAGGTTCAGAGAATAAGTGGTGTTGGTGGTGGCCCAGGAAAATTGGATAGAATTGGAGTTGACAGAGAAGAGAGGGGAAATACTTGAAGTGGGGAGTAAAATGAGCAAAATGCAATGACTAGAAAGTACAAAGCTCATTTGAGATAATTTCAAACATGATTTACTTTACAAATATTTTTACATATGCAGTCATCCCTCAGTATCCATGGAGGATTGGTTAGAGGACCCCCTGCAGATACCCAAATCTGTGGATCCTCAAGCCTCTGAAATAAAATGGGTAGTATTTACATACAATCTATGCACATCCTTCTGCATACGTTTAATCATCTCTATCTTACTTATAATAATACAATGTAAATGCAATATAAATAGTTGTTATGCTGTATTTCTTAGAAATAAGGACAAGAAAAATGTCTACATATTTAGGTAAAGCACAACCATTTTTTTCCCCTCAAATATATCCAATTCATGGTCGATTGAATCCACAGATGCAGAATCCATGGATAAGAGGGCTGATGGTAACGTTCGAGAAACATCTGTTGTAAAAAATGAAGATAATCTATGCTGAACCAATCAATACTAATAATATTTTTTCAAGACATTGAAGAAAGTACATACAAACCAAAAAGCCCAAATATTTTATTTTCATTAGTATGTTGAAAACTGTTAGACATTTTGCAACTCCAATTCCATGTCTACCTTAATCCTATTACCCCAAGTTACCCTAAAAATGTCTCTGAAATTTCCTTTGATCTGCATTGCATTTTATATGTCATTATTCCTCCTTTCTCAGACTTTTCTTGAAGCACATTTGAATCAAATGGGCTCAACATATGTTCATTTACCATTTGTCTTCAGGCTCTAGTACATTGATTTGCATGTAGCAAGTACTCAAAATAGTTGCTGTTATATTATCTTTATTTGTAGTTTTATTATTAGCAATAGCTACATTAGTAATAGCTAATCAGATTGATTCATTATCTCAATTGCTCTGTAAAGTTGATACCAAATTTAAGTCTACTTTTCAGTTGAGGAAACTGAGGCTTAGAGAAATTAAATGATGAAGAGGTTAAGAACCAAGTCACACTAGTGGTAGCATCATGACTCAAGTTCAGATCTGCCTAACACCAATGCCATGCTCTTTTTAACTAAACTGATACATATATTCTGATAAAGCAGTGATTGAAAATAAAAAAAATAGAAAGATCTTATAGAAATGACCATATTTTAGCCATACTTCCTATTCCAGTCTGTGGACAAATAAATCAATGCAATGCAAAGTGACATATTATATATCATAGAAATGTGTGTGTGTGAATGGTATATAAAGGGTAATTTGCCTTTTTCACTTCCCAATGATAAAACCTAAAGAATAATTGTTTCCATGTTACACAAACTGTGCACATATTTTTTTCATTTTGCACACCCTGGAATGCTGATTTACCTCTCTTCAGCTCGGGAGTTTCAGTGTGCTCATAGCCAGCAATAGTAAGGTTACTGCTGCTCCCTTAAAATCAGTGCTTAAATGAACTCGACAAAAAATGAAATTTCCACCTTTATTCACGCATGTCAGGAAATCTCCCCACAGCCCTTTGTATCCAAAAATGCATTATAACTTGTTTAAAGCACTGTGGGAAACAGTTTTACATTTTTTCAGTCGCACATAAAATCACCTTATGAGCTGCCAAACGAAACTGGTAAAACTCAGTGAATGGGGGTGCCTCCTTCAAAATCTCCTTTGTGAAATGGAGCTGCCATATTCCTTGCTTAAATAGTTAGCCTGATTGCTTTACCACTTCATTTAACTCCTAAATAGAAATTAGGAATTCTTCAAGACATGCTCGTTAATTAAAGTGAGATATAACCAGTGCTTACTAGCTAGAACTGACACAATGAATACATCCCAAATGTTGCTCTCACACGGGAAGGGTTGAGAGTTGATATGAAATGGTATTGGAGCAAAGTTTTTCTATCATATTAAAATTAACTTGGTATTAAGTCAAACTAGATTGTTTTAAACCAAGCTGTTAATTCTAATCTTCAGGGTAATCACTAAGAA